AATTGATTTTCTTCATTTGAAGAGGTCTCACAATGCACCTTCGATTCTTCAGAAAGTATTTACTAATATTTTGCAGAAAATAGAAAGCCATAAATCAAACCCGGGGTGCTAGTTCATATTGGTCGAGGAGATAGGAAGCTCAGCAGTATAGCAGGTCTAGTTCTTCGCCCATAATCAAGGACAGTGATCTCCATGCTTATCGATTGTTTGCTCAAGCCGTTCACACTTTTTGATCGTATCATATAATTTGCATCAAAACTTTGCATAATAAGCTCTTTTTACATAAAAATAACAGCAATCTTAACTCAAAGGAAAGGTGTGCTGACAGCATGACTTTAGGTACGAAAGGAGGCGCTTGACTACGATCTCTCTAACTTTGGCCGCACAAACCAAATTTGGAGAGTCGCGAGCGTACATAGGTAAGCCATTAATTTGAGGCAAAAGTTCAAATGTGCTAGGTTATGGAGTGCCACGCCAAACAAACTACGGGCACGGCGACTTTTTTGCGCCGTAAAATCAACGAAATGTGACGTATTCTATCACTGCCTAATTTATGTGAGGGCAGTGTGCTACATAGACTAAATAGCTAGTCAGTTATGGCTCTGAATTTGGAACTAACATAGTTGAAGGGGGGGGGGCAGTGCTCCGCTCTGTTTGTCTGCTCCTCTAAGGCTCAGTCCCAGGGACAGTTACTATTTCGCCACCACGTGGCAGTTTCCAAATATAGCGGCAAAGCAGTCAAGGCCTTGGAGACGCAAACGAGCACGGCGTCGCCTCGCAGCGTGGCCCCCTCCAACCACGTTAGCACTCTGGATTTCTACCCACTGGCGGGTGATGGGCCTGTTGGAATATGTTTGCAGTGCATTCTTGTCATAATAGTGACACGCCCCTATTCGTACCTAAGATCCACCACTACGGGTGGGAGAGAATTATATCCACTGCTGACTCATTAAGAAGTTCTGTACGACAATGAAGCCTTAAATTAAGTCAATTCTTCAATGATGCTCAAGTGATTTCGTAGCTTTGGACACTTCATCGATTAGGTCTCCAACCATATGATGAGGTTTTTGTAAGGATAGTAAAACTGTTGCCAAATGTGACGTTCGCTTGTGGTGGTCCTGAAGCGTTGCGTAGGCGACAGTACTGTTAGTAAACCGAGCCACTCGCTCAATATCCACGTGTTCAATGTTGTAGGTGATTTTGTCGACACCGCGATTACTGAAGCTGGTCAGCTCTAGTGGACATTCGATAGCCTGAAGAAAAAATAGATGAAATGAAATGAATGAAACAAAGTGAGAAGTTAAAGGCGGATATTATGGTAAGTCAGTTTGGGAGATGGGGAGATATGCTTACTACAAAGGGCTGAGCTCTCAAGGACGCGACAAGGGGCTTTTATTGCGATGGAGGTCGAGCCCACCGCCAAGTATAACCTGACCTTGACTGGCGCCACCTGTCGTGGCGGACCTGCCTCCAATTTTGGCCGCTACTGTATGGTTAATACTGAATACTGTAACTTCTTTTTAAAGGCCTTCCAACAAAGGAGAAGCGGCTGTATCCTTGCTGTGTTCTCTAGGCATGTAACACTAAAGACGTAAATTCACGAATGAAAAAGCAACCCATTTCATCAAATAGGGATGGTGAGTGGTACACGAAAAGAAGGAAGAACCATGAGAAACGGCCCAGAACCCGAGAAATGGGACCCCTTCCTTGCCCGTTGATTCGAGCATTGATGCGACTCTCATCGCTGTGCCCTCTTCAACACTACGCTCTCTCAGCTATCTAATCACTCGCCACGTATTGAACTACGGCGAGTGATCAGATGATCGGTGGGCGGAGATCGCCGGACCCGCCAGCTTTGAGGCATGATAGGTCGCCGAGGTCAAATTTTTCCATGCGAATTGCGCGTCAGTTCGCACCCTCAGGAGGTCCGTGGGTCCCTCACAGACAATTCCCTTTCCTTTCACGCTCATTTTTAATCGGTGACCTTCGCTCCTTTAACACGATGAGTGCTTAGTTGGGCATGATGCAGGCCTACCGGATCAACTAGCGTGTACGCCGGGTGTTTACGAGCTGGCTTAGTCCGCTGTTCTGTGAAAAGCCGAAATCAGAGTGGTCTAGCCACGCAGGATTGCGACCGGCAGTCACGGAGATTTTTCTTCAATAAAATTTGAGTGGATGGAGATTTCCCCTGCCCAGGGCTGGCGTAGATGAATGAGGGTATGAAGATTCTTTTCAGGAAAGAAAACTTTCCAAATTCCATTTGAAACACGGCAGCCACCGGTGGATACCATTGTACCCCTGAGATCTTTGGCAGCCACCGGTGGCTGCCATTGTCACGAATGGGTTAAAAGGGTTCTATCTTGGCGGGTCTTGAGCCGATTTCTCTCGGACATTTGTTGACCAGAGCGCCCTCTACTACCTTTACTTTTAGCTTCATCGTTTTCCTACCGGCCCACCTTCAATTGTAGCAGGTTTCCGGTGATTCATATTTGTTCAGCAAATTTATGGTTTAAAATAGAAATAACGGAAAACGGTGGTAATCTACAGCCCATATCTCGCCGTCTGAGTAGGTGTGTCTACACATTGATGTCGTGATCACTTGATAGAAGTCGCGCGGGTGAGCTACTTCCGGCATGCTTTGATGATTTAGCGCAGTATGGGCTGGGAGCAACTTACGCCCCGCAACTTCTACAACCGTGCGACCGAAAACCACTCACTTCTCCCGTGACACGCCCTAAAGATGTAGCGTGTAGTCCCAGCATTCAGATATCGGTGTGTGCATGTCGATTTATTTTGCTGACAAGATCAAGCATGTGGCATCTTGAAGCACTTGAAACATTGGATTATCATAAAAGAAACCGCAAATGGGGCGAGCGCTCGGACCATTTATTATGCGTCTAGCTAAAAGGGTTGGTTGTGCGGGAACCCCAGGGATATCAGTCTAGCAAATATACAATGCTGTGATTATTGCGCTCACCTCGTGATCAAGTGTAGATGATTCTTCGCATGGCACTCTGATGGAGAGCAGCTGTCGCCTGCGTACCGTTCCGTCGTAATTTAGGAACGATGACGTCATTCTGGATTCACTACGTAAGGCATTGATGATCACAGTATCAGGCTGCCACGGATGGACATTCGTCGGTAACTGGAAGAGGCTGAGCTTGATCTTGAAGTGTGGAAGAAGATTTACAACAACTTGTATCATGTTTATCACGTTGAGAGCGAGGTTCGTGCCGACTGAGAGGCGCTTACTTGACGCGTGCGGACCAGCTACGATGCAGCAGCAATAAGAACTCAACCAGAATAAAGGAATCCGGCTGTGCATGTAGTAATTCTATGGTTAAACTTTTGTCCGCTTGTTCAAAGGAGGATTGCACGAAAAGGTCGAAGGTCGAAGAGAGGAAACTTACCTAGTGCAAGGTGAGCGTACCTCCTAAGGGTTTGGAAACACTCCTTTCGCACCGAAGGTTCGCCCCGGCGATCTAGGCCCTCGCGGCCCCGTGGCGCTATCGACGCGGCACTGATTGAGAGTCGCATCAATGCGGAAATCAACGGGCAGAGAATGGGTCATATTTCTCGGGTCATGGTTCACTTCTCATAAGTTTTCTCTCCATCCAGGCATCATAGACCATCTCTACTCAGTTTTATTGGGCTGCTTTTATTCGTAAAATCCTTTTAACACGTTGACGACATCGCGCGTTTTGTGCTTTTGCACCGCGTGGGACCAGAGCGATTTTGCGAGCGCCGCCGCCGCACACCAAATCCATGGATTTTGAGCTGTAAATACGCAATACTTAGATGCGATGAAATGTTTTCAATGATGTTCGATCTGTCTAGCTTATCAGGAGTTACAGTAATGGAAGTTTGACCGAAATGACGTGTTAAGGCCATGAAAAGGGAAATTTTACTTAATTTCCCTTTAGTGGTTCCAAAATTAATTTGGACGTGGTTGTTTCAGTAAAAACACATATCTTCCCATACGAATAGGTTTGTATTCACTTCTGTTATTCCTTTTTCAACATGTTACGTTATTGAAAAGAAAACGAGGAATGAACTGAACAGACATATCCGTAAGGTCTGGAAAACGTCTGCCAAACTAAAGAATATTTGGCCTTTCTGTGAGCCATGTGGTTTTTAAGTATGCTAATGTATGACCTATAGAATGAGTACAAAGACCTTAGGAATAAGTCGCACAAGCGCAAGAAAAAGGGATGACTTGGGTGGGACGCGTTACCGCGTCACAATGTCCCACGAGGTGCGCAAAGTGGGACGCGTTACCGCGTCACGCTGTCGTCAACGTGTTAATCAAGATCGAGTTTTATTTAGTATTGCCAGTGCAGCCCACTGTACAGCCCTCTTGCGCAAATATGGCGCCTTATTGCATGCAAGCTGTAGCACTTGTCAGTAGCATGGAGTTTCTTATGTGAAATGTTTATTATTGACACTTCAGTCAATTATTTTGTTCACTAAAATAAAATACAAACCGGGACTTCCGACACTCCCTTGAATAGTAATCGCGTGTCCGTCCATGTCTGCTCGAGTGTGATCGATGTCCGCAAAATGTCGTCAGATAGTTGTGCGCTATTTACTACCATATAGACATCTACCTTAAAATAGATTGATATCAATAACAGACTATTTTAGCTTATTCATACAAACGGGTGTTGCCTTCGGACTACACGCTAGCAGATTTAGACTAATACGTGTCAAACGATAAAATTACGAGGCATTGGTTGCTAACGTATTTGGTGGGGGCCACGCCTGTTCGTCTCCTCCACGGCTTAGTCCTAGGGGACCGTTACTATTCCGCCGTCGCTACTAATTTCAAAATGCCACTGCAATGCAGACTATGCCATAGAGGCGCAGCGCTGCGCCGCTGCGTGGCCCCATCCAAGTACGTTAGTACCGACATTTTGGGGTGCTTGCTTCTTTCTTAGGGCGCCGGGCGCTTTTTCATTCTGTGTAAGTCGTAATGACCATTAGCCTTAAGGGAGGGTGACACCATCCTCAATTTACTATATTTGAAGGCAACCTATACATACAATGCTTGCTAGGGCCAACTTTTCCAAAACTAGGGTTTTTTTCTGTTTTTGGATTACCCTTCTATCAACTAA